AGAATAGTTTGAAATAAAATGGAAAAGTTACTTTTCTGCTTGACCTTGAAGAAAGGGTAGTCTAAAAAATACTATTAATGGCTTTACATTACAAAAAGGGACAAAGTGAGAAAACCCAAATGATGCATGATTTTGCCTCACAGATGAGTTCTCTTGATGTTTTAATACTACTACTAATGAAAGTAATGCATAAGCAAGGACAGCTAATCCAAGTGGGCATAAAGGGATATTAAGATTGGGGGGAGGGACATCTGTAATACTTTCAACAATAAAGATAAATTAAAAAAAAACACAAAATAGATGGAATGCACATTCAGGTTTTAATATCAACCATAGCTTCTATTTATGGAGACTTTTTTCCTGCTAGTCTGGGGTTTCTCATTGACATTTTTTGTTTGTGGCAGCCATATATATAACGATGTATATTTATGACAAAAAATAGCCTCTGATTTCTGGCCAAATGGGCAATAATGTTGGGGGAAGGCTGGTTCTTAACACAGGGTCAGTCCCTGATTTATCAGTGTCATGAAGCCTCTCTGTTTACCTCCAGAAACCTACTCGGTGGGCAGAAGGCCCTGTATTCTAAGCGGCTGGCAGGCTCTCATTGACATTTGGGACCAGATAATTCTTTGTTATATGAGTCTGTCCTGTGCATTGTAAGATGTTTAGCAGCTTTCCTGGCCTCTACCCACTAAATGTTAGTAGCATCTTCCCACTCATGACAACCCAGAAACGTGTCCTGACATTGCTATATGTTCTTTGGGACGGAAATTGCCCTGGTTGAGAACAACTCTACTCAGAAGTCTCCTCTTTTATAGAGAAAGTTTTATCAGAGCAGGAGCCTTGATAATGCCTCTTAGAGTTCATGGGCCTACTCTGATATCTTTTGAAAGAATGAAGTGGGTCCTATATTATTAACCCCATTCTAGATGAGGAAGGTGAGGCAAATAATTTAAAGAATGTGTTCAAAGTCTCATAGTTACTAAATGATGGAATTGGGACTCAAATTCAGGTGTGTCTGCCTCCAAGGTGCTTAACTACTGTGTTTTACTATAATATCACATGCTGATTTTCATGACAGTCAACCAGTTCTAACTCTAGGTGTGATAAGCCAGGTTCGCAGGATACTGAAGAGACAGGGAAGGTGATAAAGTACTAAAGAAGTCTATGCGAATTGGAATGATTATGGAACCAAAGAGTAGCTGCAGAGAGATACTTGAGGTGGAACGAGGGTAATGTTAGCATTATTCCCAGGAACTGTGCTATGCTTGCCCATCTGCTCAGAGATAACTGCTGAGATTAATCTGTAGTTCTGGCCTGGAATTCTGCCACAGGTTCCATCTGAGGACAGTACGGAGAAGGTGAAAGTATACCTGAGGGTCAGGCCCTTGCTACCTTCAGAGTTGGAACGGCAGGAGGATCAGGTGAGTTTCTGAGGAGGGAGGATTCAGTGTGGAATGATGCAGTACAGAAGAGGTTCTCAGAATGTTTCCTTCTGTGTCAACTGTGTTTTCCCCCTTCTTAGGATTGTATCCGTATTGAGAATGTGGAGACCCTTGTCCTACAGGCACCCAAAGACTCATTTGCCCAGAAGAGCAATGAGCGGGGAATTGGCCAAGCCATCCACAGGTTCACCTTTTCCCAGGTATGGAGGTGCTGGTCTGTGAACAAGGGACCAACATGTAGGAGCAACTTGATTCCCTCTTTAGAGGGAAAGCTTTCTACCTGACTGTGAATTTCTTATAGAGGGTTGGGGAAAAGTACTTTTACAATTTGTGATTATGTGAAACACAGAGTTTAGTCTTGTATAATTATTTATTATTACTATATTATTTTCTATACGAACAACTGTAAACCTACTTTTGCCTTACCCTGCATATGCATGTCTACAGTTTTGGGAACCCTTATTATGAGCTAGTCAGTGTGTCAAGTACTTTGTACATTAATTCCCAACAACTCTTTTATAATTATCATTATTGTTCCTATTTTCCTGACGAGGATACTGTGGCTCACTGAATGTATGTTGCTGAAGCTAGTCAGTGGTAGAGTTAGAACTTGAATCTAGATCCATCCATCTCCACCAAAGACCATACTTGTGACCATTATGTTAACCCATTGTGTGTACAGCATTGGACTTTGTGGATAGCATTCCTTAGGTATTTGTTAATTTGGATGAAAGATGGACTGGCAGAGAGTGGTTGAGTCTTCAGTGTTTAGGGAGCAGCTGGCAGCACAGCAGGAAGAAGTTGCTTGAGTACTGTCCAGAGCCAGCCACCCAGGAGAAGATGTATCTGCTAGCTCTGCACAGGAGGCAAGTGGGAGATGAAAGATGGGCCTCTGAGAAACTGGATCTGTCCCTAGATCTTTGGGCCAGAAGTGGGACAAGCATCCTTCTTCAACCTGACTGTGAAGGAGATGGTAAAAGATGTACTCAAAGGACAGAACTGGCTTATCTATACATATGGAGTCACCAACTCAGGGAAAACCCACACAATTCAAGGTGAGTAGTAGGCCTCACAGAATTTCTGATGGCCTATAATGGAGTTGTCTTTGCCTTTTGATGCTCTCCATTGAAGGAGAAAGGCATTTGCCTCCGTTATCCATCTTTTACAACCCTCCAGGTACCATCAAAGATGGAGGGATCCTGCCCCGGTCCCTGGCTCTGATCTTCAATAGTCTCCAAGGCCAACTTCATCCCACACCTGATCTGAAGCCCTTGCTCTCTAATGAGGTAATCTGGCTTGACAGCAAGCAGATCCGACAGGAGGAAATGAAGAAACTGGCCCTGCTAAATGGAGGCCTCCAAGAGGTGAAGTGTTAGTGTCTACAGAGATGGGGATAGGGGGACAAATCTCTGGAAAGTTTTATACTTATTTTCTCCCTGGGCCCCTCCAGGAGGAGCTGTCTACCTCCTTGAAGAGGAGTGTCTACATTGAAAATCGGATAGGTACCAGCACCAGC